CTGGTTTGAGGCGGGCAGTAGCAAACCATTGAACATCCGGAGGTGTCCTCCCACCGTCAGAGAAAATGCGTGGCGCTCATGCTCTACGCTGCGGTGAGCTTATAACCCGTAGATTTGTTGTCGCCCATTGCTATGTTTTACGGGAAGAGGAGCCGGCACCAATGGCGTTTGTGTTGTGATTTCCTTTGTCCATCCCCCTCCAATCACGATCTCACCTGTTAGGCATAACACGATTCCCTTTTACGGCAGCCAGCTGTTAGCTCTCCGGAACGATGTCCATCCGTTACTGGGGACTCAGCGGGCGTGTCGGTGTTTGCCACTGTTTTCTTTTTCTTTTCTTTTGTATTGCGGCACAATAGCTGAGATGTTTTCCACCTCCAGCTAACGTGTAATGATGATGATGATGAACCTCCGAAAAGGATGTGGTTTGGACTAGGATACTGGCAAGGGCGCCCACACCTGCCAGGAGAACGATTCGGGTCCTCAGCCAAAGTCTTCAATTAAATGTACACCCGAAAGGCAGCGGGTCTAGCACATGGTCCGTTCACAGACTCATGCGGATTGGTGTCCTGGATCTTAGCAGGGAGAGGGACGTAACCCAACTCCCACTCAGCGGTCGCCACGAGAAGGCGCCCAGGACATGAGCACATGGCACAGCAGTATCAGCAGTGAGTAGACCATCTGTCAGGATCTAGCCACCACCAACCTCAGCGCATCATGGGCTCACCCGCCGGATATATATATGTATATATATATGTATATGTATATATATATGTATATGTATATATATATATGTATATATATATATATATATATATATATATATATATATATATATATATATATATATATATATATAGCAAGAACAGTCTGAGGCAAACACTTATTTTCAATGATTCACACACGGGCCGATACAAACCATATAACTTTAAGTTACAAAGGTAAGTGGCCGGTGATGGGTTCTGATGTAGGTCAATGATGATTAGACAGCAGCTAGTTAGTCGCCGTCTTGCACACACACAGAGATCGATAGGTGTTATATAACCAAACTGACGACGCCGGGGTCAGAGTGACGGTTATGTTGACTACTGTTCGGCTACGGCAGACTTAGCGCTTGAACAAACTTCTTTTGTGGGCATAGCGGAGGTTGCAATATTTGGATCGCAATAGCTTCGGCTGTGGCGCGCGTTCGTAGACGCAGGCCTTTTGAATTATTCAAGGAGACCTGGTAAACCACAGTAAATGCGTTCGGAAGTTAACGCTTTGACCTGATTTCAATAGATGGAAGAGAATTCCGCTTTCCAAAACGCCTGTGCCTCCGTTCGCCAACCATTTAGGACTATGTCCCTTATGCGATGTGACAACTGGCGAGCTGTTCGACCTATGTATGTTTCACCATACGTGCACTCAATTCGATACATAATGTAAGAGGAGGTCAACTTCTGCAGTCTGTCCTTATTGCACACAGGAATAAACAGTTTGATGGCAAATATACTCCTCAGTCCCGCAGCTGGAAAAGTGTTCCTTACTAACAGCGTCAGTTTTCTTGTTATTAGCTCCGCAATTGTATCGCCTTTAAAACCAAAGTGAATGAAGAGAGGTTTCTTTTCTGCTACTTGGTTAACGTCCGATGTTATGTTTCGCACAAAGCGTTGGCTGGACCGTGGTCCGCTCCACACTGAGTGCATGGAACCACTCTTCGACCCTAACATAACCTACGGTTATGCCGAGATAACTTGGCTAGCAACGCATCCGCGATAAATACAAATTGTTCACAAGTTACTAGAACATTTTGCAGACGCAATAAAGTCAATGATCATAACCACAATTAGTGTAAGCAACGAGTGTAAGTTTGTAGAAGATTTTTCAGGTAGGTAGAACAAACCAAATGAAGTGGGATGAAATTTATCCAGCTTAAAAAGTGACCTAGTTTAAGTGTAAGTTGGTTTAGCCCAACTACGGTTAAGCAGCATCATGAACGCAGCATCAGCCTCAGCAAACATATATATATATATATATATATATATATATATATATATATATATATATATATATATATATGGTTGGCGGCATCCGGTTTCGGATTTGCCTGTCACTGTGGCAAGCCACAGGACGCCTGCGCCTACAGAGGGACCATGGATGGCTTGCGCTGCACCACCCACAGCTCCAACCACATACCCCATATCCAGTGTAAACCCGAAGGAATAAGACCGGGAGGCATGCGGATGGGAACCACGTTTCATCAACGGAGCCGGCCTACACTCCTTCACAGGCAAACACAAGCACGCTGTATTTGGGGAATCAAGCGCACATAAGGCGGTGGCTGGACCGTAGTCCGCTCCACACTGAGTGCATGGAACCGCTCTTTGAGCCTAGCACGGCCACAAGAACCGTGCACCCCGTCCCCTCCAGCAACGACCAACTGTCTCCTGGAGCCAGTATGAACGATGTAGTGGGTAATAGACAGGTAGGCACCTTGTCAACATACACATCAAGCGCAACCATACCAGGGATAGCAAACAACAGCCATTCACTTTAAACGACAAGCTGAAATAAAATAAATCCAATAATGCATACAGATACGGTGGCATAACTCTTCGCTAAATTACCATATGAAGTAGGTTGGTTAGCAACAAATCCGTGATAAATAAGAAATGTCTACGAGTTACTTAAAATGCTACAAACGCAACAAAATTACCGAAGATAAGCGCAATTAGTGTAATCAACGTGGCCAGTTAATAGAACATTATTCAGGGAGGCAGAACAAACCAAATAAAGCGGAATGAAATTTATCCAGCTTAAAAAGACCTAGTTTAAGTGTAAGTTGGTTTAGCCCAACTGCGGTGAAGAAGCATCAAGAATGCAACATCAGCCTCAGCATTGGGCACACATACATACATGGTTGGCGGCATCCGGTTTCGGATTTGCCTGTCACTGTGGCAAGCCACAGGACGCCTGCGCCTACAGAGGGACCATGGATGGCTTGCGCTGCACCACCCACAGCTCCAACCACATACCCCATATCCAGTGTAAACCCGAAGGAATAAGACCGGGAGGCATGCGGATGGGAACCACGTTTCATCAACGGAGCCGGCCCTACACTCCTTCACAGGCAAACACAAGCACGCTGTATTTGGGGAATCAACCGCACACAAGGCGGTGGCTGGACCGTAGTCCGCTCCACACTGAGTGCATGGAACCGCTCTTTGAGCCTAGCACGGCCACAAGAACCGTGCACCCCGTCCCCTCCAGCAACGACCAACTGTCTCCTTGAGCCAGTATGAACGATGTAGTGGGTAATAGGCAGGTAGGCACCTTGTCAACATACACATCAAGCGCAACCATACCAGGGATAGCAAACAACAGCCATTCACTTTAAACGACAAGCTGAAATAAAATAAATCCAATAATGCATACAGATACGGTGGCATAACTCTTCGCTAAATTACCATATGAAGTAAGTTGGTTAGCAACAAATCCGTGATAAGTAAGAAATGTCCACGAGTTACTTAAAATGCTACAAACGCAACAAAATTACCGAAGATAAGCGCAATTAGTGTAATCAACGTGGCCAGTTAATAGAACATTATTCAGGGAGGCAGAACAAACCAAATAAAGCGGAATGAAATTTATCCAGCTTAAAAAGACCTAGTTTAAGTGTAAGTTGGTTTAGCCCAACTGCGGTGAAGAAGCATCAAGAATGCAACATCAGCCTCAGCATTGGGCACACATACATACATGGTTGGCGGCATCCGGTTTCGGATTTGCCTGTCACTGTGGCAAGCCACAGGACGCCTGCGCCTACAGAGGGACCATGGATGGCTTGCGCTGCACCACCCACAGCTCCAACCACATACCCCATATCCAGTGTAAACCCGAAGGAATAAGACCGGGAGGCATGCGGATGGGAACCACGTTTCATCAACGGAGCCGGCCTACACTCCTTCACAGGCAAACACAAGCACGCTGTATTTGGGGAATCAAGCGTACACAAGGCGGTGGCTGGACCGTAGTCCGCTCCACACTGAGTGCATGGAACCACTCTTCGAGCCTAACACGGCCACAAGGACCGTGCACCCCGTCCCCTCCAGCAACGACCAACTGTCTCCTGGAGCCAGTATGGACGACGTAGTGGGTAATAGACAGGTAGGCACCTTGTCAACATGCACATCAAGCGCAGCCACACCGGGGATATCAAACAACAGCCAATCACTTGAGAGAGAGAAAGAAAAGAAAAAGAGAAAAACTCGATTAATGCATAAGGAAACGGTGACATAAACCTTAATTAAATAGCATACTTAATATGTTGTTTACAAACACATCCTAGCTAAGTGCACGAGGTCAGGAAGTATAGTTCACGGTATGCCACGAACACAAAAATGTTATGGAAATCGAATACAATTGGCTGAAGCGATGTGTGCAAGTTAATGGAATAGAGTACAGGGAGATATTTATATGAGAAGAAAAGCAGTAAGGTAAAAACTGTAAACCCACCACCTGAAATAAAGAGACTTAGCATGCAAATACATATATATATATATATATATATATATATATATATATATATATACACGCATATATGAACTTTAGCGATATTCTCCGCCTCAGGAACCAACCTTTGGTGTGTTGATCACAGATCCCTCTCTGTACTCTCAGCAGCATTCGATTCCATCTGGTGCTCTATGGTGCATATACATCCGCGGCCGGATCTCTTAATGATGCATTACTTTCAAACATTTTCCTCGGTGATCATGAAAGGTGTCTTATGTTCTCTATTGCATGTGCACAGTTTTGTACTCACGAGTTTTTGGTCGGCTCCAGTATTTAGAAACTAGTTTTTCGTTGATACCAATGTATCTGGCTGGGTGAGAGACCATCAGATTATCTTCCGGTAATCTCACTCGAACTATTCCTTCTTGTGTTCATACGCTGCCCTGTGTTGCTGCACTCGAAGACTGCGTCTGTTAATTTTCACGTTGTGCTCTGATACCCGTTTTTAGTCACATGGCCCAGGGGGTCAGCACTTATCGATTCACAACCGACGCGCGTCTCAGCGAAGTTTTGGAGCGAGTCGTACATCGGCGAGACCTTCGGCAGCACGGCGGATATGAGTACCACTTAGAGAGTTGGCCGTTTTCTGGCGATACAGTTGGTGCACTCCCACAACAACCACTGAGTACTCATGATCAGTTTAGCAATGGACGCAGATTGGACCTTCATCTGCGACTTAGAGATGTTATCGATGCAGGATTTCCACTTCGGTTTGTGTTAATCCGAGATAACAGTACGTTCCTGTTTTGATCAATGGCCAGTAGCAAACAACGCCTTTATCACTAACTGCAGATTATTTACTCATGTCTACCTCAAAGTGTTCAGTTGCTTAGCCACCTAGTTATTGTACTCGTAGCTTTTTCGAAACAAATGTGAGCAGTTTCGGGTACTTGGCCACTGCACACAGTGATCTCGGGATGGGACATATGATTAGATGAAGATCCTGTCCAACAAGCACATTAGTTGACGTGTGTTTCTCACTCTCACCCAACGTGTATCGATGATTATGATATCCGACATCACACAGTCACGGATGCGATTGCGCTTCGGCATACTCTTTTTTCATCTGCCTTGATAACATCCCAACACGATTTACTTTATTGACTTTTTCCTTGCCATTTTGCACTCTGTCTCATTTCTCTCATCCTTTTTACTTACTGTTATCCTGGCCTGGCCGAGTCATGTAGATTTTAGTGCTCTTCTCGCACTTCTTAAATGAGATGAACTGCACATCCGCATAATAGCACTAGTTAACCTGAGCTCCCTTCTTACAGTGTACGCCAAAATGGTTTTACGAGGTGCGAATATGCCTTAATTTCACTTTCGGTCAGCATGGGATTCTCTCTGCCGCTGACAAGTCATCGACCACTTCTGAACCGACCACTTTACATTTTCATTCCGATGACCTTGAACTTTACCATTATCTGATGGTTTACGTTAATCTTATTCCTATCAGTTGTGGTGTTTTAGTCTGACGAAAGCTACCGAAAACGAGCTTGCTCGCTAACTTATGTTTCTGTATTATCTCTGCATCGGTTGTTGTTGTTGTTGTTGTTGTTGTTGTTGTTGCAATTGGGTGCAGTACCCACTTGTTATCGTGCGCCCCAGCAGCGAGCCAATTCACAGTCAGCATTTACGATTAGTGCATTGGGTGAGGCACTTTGAGCAGCAATTCAACCGGCATCTAGCGCCCTCGGCGACTTCTTTGTATCCAAAGCGCTCCATGATGTGTTAGCACATCTCCAACATATTGAGCTGTGTGCTACGATCTTCACATTCTGAAGCCCCATAAATCTCCTAACCCGTACGAGATCCCTCTCTCTTCAAAGATAGGCCCGTGAATTAGCTTTCTTCTTCCAAGATATTTGCGATCATCTGATCGCAGCTTATCTGACACCGTTCCTGTTTTCGTGTAGATAACCGAACAGAATACGCCAACTGTCAACTAATCGGCCTTCTGTGTTACTTTCAAAGTGTTCGCTTCCCTGCTTTTACTGAGGCTCAGTCGGGTACGCGAACAGCTCATATGTGGAGAGTAGGTAGCACTTCACCCAGATCGGAGCTATTTTGATCGTATCTCCGTTTTCCACCAATTACTCGGACATCTCCAAACTTTCGGTCGGCTTAGCATTTTGTCCTCTTAGTCCTACGACTCAGTCGGTAGTGATACTATCTGAAGTCGCCTGCTGAGAAGAGGAGTGCACCTGCAGCGGATGTAGGTTAGTCATTCGCGATCCTTTGGTATTACCCATGGTATGTGACAGGGTTAAGCCGCATCATACTTGTCCAACTTCACTATGGATATCTTAGAAAACTTTAAGCTTACTGGCCTTCAATTGCCCAACTACCTGAAGAATACCGACGACCACCGTAATCTGTGTTCCTTCGAAAGTCCCCCAGAGCATGCTATGCAAATTCGAAGGGTTTAGCTCTGTTCTCACGGCTTTATTCACCTTTCATCAGTGCAAGAGGAATAGTGTCACTTCCGTCGTATTGTATTCAGTCTTTTGTATTGCTGCGAAGCCATCGAGGCACACCAACTGTCCTGTTTCCGGCGTTACCCAGTTAGAGTGTGCTGTTGGTTCCTCGACTATAATTCGTTATCGCGTCATCTTCTAAGTTCCTTTCCTCATTTACTTCCTTCTCCGGCAAGCGAATCGTTTCTCAAATCTGACTAATATAGTTGAGGTCGACGATTATGTCTGATATTTGCTTATTTGTATTTGCAATGAGCACCCACTCTGTTGTAGTCCATCCTCATTAGTTTTCGTTTGCAGGCGGTTTTGATGAGTGCTTTTCATTCATCTTTGTCTCGTTATTTGCTAATTAGCCGGTGCCATTTTCCTTTTGGAATCAGTACTGTTTGTGGAGGACTACAGGATTGCGTTTTATTTCCGTTAGCAGACTACTTAATGTTCCATGAGATCAACTGGACTGACTGCTAACTCTTTGTAGGTCCCATGCAGGCGCATGTTTCCACATCACCTTGGTACTCGCATCGTACTTGTTTAGCAGTGCTGACAGTAGACGTACCGTCATATCCTCACTCAGTGTAGATAATTATCGAGTTATCGGTCAAAATTTTAACCAGGTGAATTTTGTAACAGAGGCTAACGCATTGGATTGTACTCCTGGAATCTGGCGTAATTTGTACATCTCGTCTCGGTGGACCATGCGTACCTCCCATCTTCTCCACTGGTTACCTGCAGGTCGATTTGATCCGGTGTCGGTCGGCTGGGCCGTCGACGACGATTATGCACCTGCAAAGTCATGCGTGCCACCGGAAAGATTGCGTGCAGCACTTCAGCTCCGCCAATACCGTGTTACTTGGCTTAAGGGTTTGTTTCCCCGAGAAGTCCAACTAAGTGAGTTTAATTTACCAGCGCCCGTTTTTACCCCACTTCAACGCTTCTCGCTCCTCAGTGTATTGTCTCATCTTTGCATGCCATAGTGGATCGTGACGATTCTAAGAGATGATTTCCTATTTCCATTGCGAATCACGTTATTTGTGCCTATGTTTATAATCTTAGCGGTACAGCAGTCCAATTAACCAGACATAATTTCCCCCGCTTAAGTATGGATTCGAACTTTCAGCTCATCCACCTTCTTTTTTCCCGTTTCTTTTGACCTTTAACTTTCTCACTCAAAATATGCCAGCTTCTGTTATGCGTATATTTTCGAGATCGTCCATTCCCATGTATGTCTTCATTGATCTCATATCGTTCCTTTTTATTCCATAACTCTTCTGTAGCTGTATCTGCCGATGGGATACGTATTGACTATGTAACCACTATTCGACGTCCTAAGTTGTTCTCCAAACCTACGAGACCCGTGATTCTGGGATTAGAACAGTTGGCTGATTGCCACTTGATTTGCCCCAGTTCGAGTGGCACATGCGCACCAACACAGGAGCTTGCTACGACCATGTCCGATAACGCTGCTTATGTGTCCGAAAAGGTGCAGATTCGAGTTGCTCACTTGGTAAGTAGATTACTGCAGTGGATCCAACGCTATCTATCCTCTAAATGCCATTCCATTTCCAGCAACTAGAGTCTTTTTCAATTCCCAACAGTCCAAAGTACGGTAAAGTTGGTGGCTCGATCGATTCAGCTAAGATTTGTTGGCAAGCACTTGTTTCCTTTTTGACCTACAGAAAATAGTCACATGATTGTCCTTCTGGCATTTTCATTTCCAAACATTCACTTCTCACTTCACATGGCCTACATGCAATCGTGATTCTGCGTATGACCTTTTTCAGCCTCTATTAGCCCAATCCGATTGCATTCTTTTTAGAAGTTTAGAGGCATTTCCCTAGAAGAAACTACGCCTACCACATCATCGCTTGAAGGCGGCGTTTATGGTCCAGTAACTACGAGCAGCAAGTCTCTCGAAGGGAAAGGAAACGCAGCCGGCTTTCAATACCTATGGTTTGAATCACAATGGACCCGTGCGCGGGCTATTTTTAATCAATTGAATTTGATTCTTGAACATCGCGGTGGCAAGGCTCGACAGCTCTACATGAGGCACCACTTGACCTCATGACCAGCACACTTGGATTTATTGACTCCAACATGCAATGTTATTTTTACACTTTACTAAACCTTTCTTAATATATTTGACCTCTTTGATTCAACTCGTATTTCACTTAATTGCACTACGATGATTCCACATGGATTCGATTGTGCCTAACTTATCTGATGAATCCTAACTACCGTGAAGACATTTGGGATGTATCCTGATCAGCTAATTGATGAAGAAGCCCAGTGTCATTTAACCACAGCGTTCTGTCCCAACTCATTAGAAGTAGGTATCCAAGAATAATCTTAGTCAAAGGAGATCATGTTGTGATATCTGGACAAACTTTTACACATGCTAAGCTGAACATTTTGAAGAAGTGTTTTTGCAACGCACCGTGTCAGTGTTGTACGTTCACAGCATCGCGTTTAAGACTTTGTAACGACCGACCTCGTTATTGATGAATTTTGGCTCGAAATGGCGCTTCTGAAGCAGAACAAGGTGACTGACTCTGAGACCGTGCCTTTATCGTTTCTGGAACTCCGTGATGCTTCCCTAACAGCGGTTGGTTAGTCTGCACCATGTGGCTCACAAATGCCCTTAGAAGGGCCCCTATTAGTTCTCATTCCCGCGTTTATTAAAGGCCAGAGAACGTTAGCGAGCTTCCTTAAGGAATGGTTTATGCCATCTGCCTGTAAATTACTCTTGATTTATAATCCATAGGCCATCGAAGGAGTCTAACCAGCGAATCGAAAGTTCACCTACCCCAGATTTGACACAGAAACCTGGTACTTTGATAACCTTATCCATATCAGCCTATCGCACTTGTCTATTTGAGTAGTGTGCATAAGAAGTTTGTTTCTGTTTTGTGTCTTTTCACGTCATCTTCTGGGGTAGAAGACAGGCTGTCTCCTGAGTGTATCACGTTGCATATGGTTAACGGCATCTGGGTCCGGATTTACTTATCACCGCGACTGCGAACAGCCACAAGACACCTTCGCCTACTAATGGGGCTATGCGCGGCTAGCGCAGCAATACTGACAGCTCCGTTCGCACACCACATTTACTGTGTAAACCATAAGGGATAAGACTGCGAAGCATGTAAGTGTGACCCACGATTAAACTGGAGCGCGCCCACACTCCTTCAGCACACACGTTTGATTTGACCATGCATACCAGACGTACCCAAGGTGGTGGTTGGGCCATAGCCTGCTCCACACTGGATGGAAACACTCTGTTCCTAGCACCGTCACGAAGACGATGTAGTCCGTCTCCGCAACACCGACCAGCTGTCTCATGGAGCCAGTATAATCGGAGTTACGTTTCTCGACAGGTAGGCACCTTCTCAACCTTCACATCAAGTGCGGCCACACCGGGGATATTGATAAACAGCCAGCACCTGAAACACAATAAAATGTGAACGCAGACACTTTACGAGAAAAACCCCAGCGATAATGTAGCACACGTGCCACATCGATTGCATTCTTAGAATGAGTTCATAAATGGAATCGGAAGCAATCTGCTTACCAAGCGCTCGCTAATGCTTACCTATTCAACTTGCTCGTGGATACCAGACCGGTTTGGCTGAGGCACACACGGTCGCATATTCTACGGCACCAAATGCATGACGTCGATGGGCTAGGTTCCATTGGTGCTTGTCGCTTTCGTAACTGGCGTTTTTCTTCCTGATGCAACCGTTCCTTCTGGTGCACCTAGACATCGGCATTCGTGATGTGGTCACGCCATTGGCCACCATCCTCTGCCATTGCTTCTCAACACTTAAAGTCAACGTTGGTTCGTGATGAACATACCTTGGTTATGTCCTAGTAACCTAGCTTTGCTTTACCCATGTTTCTTCTTCCTGTACTAAGTTGGACCTATAGCGTGAGTTTCGCTTCTCTAGTCGAATCAATACAGCTGGCATGTCCGAACCATCCCATCCATTCCGTATATGCCGATCCGGTGAAGCACTTCTGTGTCAGAACTCTGTCGCACCAACAAATTCTCAGAATCCGATGCAGGCATTGCTGGTGAATTCGTTCCAGAAGGTGGATGTCTCTCTTGTATAGCGCCCATTGTCCTCTTCCTTAGAGAAGAATCGCATACCGTCACCTCGGTATCAGATGTCAGATTGTTCATCCACACCCGATGTTCAGTCTCATCGAATGCCGCGAGTGTACATCTCGCTGTTCACCCGCAAGTCTGTCGACAGCATGCTCCCGAGGTAGCAACATTTCGTTGCTTTGTGGGCAGCACATGGACTTCATTTCTAGGGACGGCTGCAAATGACAGTCTTGCCCGTGTTGATGTTTAGTCCGAACTAGGCCGCTGCCGAGGGGATAGCCGTCGACATCCTCGCGCTGTGCAAACAACGCGCACTGGCTAGCAAATTACAGCGTTCCGATGTTTAGCTCCCGTACTAAGCTTCTCACTCCGAAACAATGGATGTTCAGCAACCCACCGTCATGACGGACACCGTATTCACCAGAATTGAAAGCCGTAGACATGGTAGTTAGGTAACTATTAACCAGGACAGTGGCTAAGACACAGCCTTGCTTCGCGACAGAGACATCAGTCATCTGCACAAAAGAAAATAATTCGCTGTTGCTTACAAACAATCAGTAACCGCTTTAGCAGCTTACATGTCACTTCGATTGGTGGCGGCTTGCATGGGAAGTTGCTGCTCTGGGGGACAGCCCTGCCCTTTGCACGTTCGTAACATGCATTACAATGAAGGATGAGCCATGCTATATCGCAGTTAGATATCAATCATGGCGGTTCGCTGCCGTCGCCTTCTGGCTCAGCGACATAATTCGGTGGCTCACAAGAGTAAGGTTGTGCGTTCGAATCCAGCAGGGTTCGGTGGGTGCGCGCTACTGACGAGTCTCAATAGGACGGAACGGCCGTTTATCGCTTTCCTGGATGTGTGGTGGCTGTCTGCCTGTGTCTAACTGCGACGAATCTTCACAAAAAGGACTAACAAGTTTTCCCAGCATGATCTACATTGCCTCGCGGTTCACCGCGTCAGATGCCTTGGTGAAATCGATGAACAGCGAGTACAATGGCTGATTTCGGTCACGACATTTCTCTTACAATTTATGAGTCTTTAGCACCACATCTGTTCGCGCTGCGGTCCGAACGGAATCCGCGCTGCTTCGCAGCTGCGTTTGCTTCAACGACGTGATTGACAAGATGGTTGAGCACAATCCGAGCAATCAGACTGCTGACGCAAGTCGATGCCAAGCTATTGGTACACTGTTTTCTTCCTCTGCTTTTGTACAGTGGCACTATAAAGTTCAACGGGTACATGTACTTCAATCTAAATGCGTTTCACCAATTGATGCAGCGCATGCAGCACTACGGGCCACCGCTTTTCAGCACTTCTAGTGGTATCCCGTTGAAGCAAACACCGCTTCGCAGCTGAACGATTGCTCTCTGCGTTTCTGGCGCTCCAGGTGGTGTCTGCGGGACCGTTCTTCACATCTTGGTGGTGCATCCTGTGCGACGCATCCCAGTCAATCTCTGAGCGGTTGTTCAAGAGACAGTCGAAGTGATTTCGCCATATCTGTGTGCAGGCAGCACCCAAATTAACGTTCACCAGCGTCTTCGTGGGCTGCAAAGTGGATGCATGCACTGCTTCCAAGGAAACATAACCTATGCTGGCGGCGTTTGGCGTAGCATCCCATCCACTCCTTCCACCATGCACTCTTTTGGTGCCGTAGCTCTCAACTTAGACTTCGAAATATTTTGTTAAACTTACTCTCCTCCTCTTAGTTGCTAGCTTGCTCATGCGCAGCAAACGCCGTATTGTATTGTATTGCTCGCGCCGTTGTCATCAAACCGTTCGGACCGTCTAGTTTGCGCGCCTGATCCTTACTTCAGCAGTAAAGGTCATCTGTTCATTGAGGTGATGTCATAGGTAGCTGAAGCGATGGAGTCGACGTCACTAAGGCGGTTAGCCGTTGTATTCACCGATTCGCTCCTTTTTTCAGCATTACCTAGAGTACGAACGCATACTATCCGACGATTCGCTACAGAGGAACATCGCATGGGTTTACGAAATACATGTACGATTTGCTGTGCACCACCTTTTGATCGGTTTCACACTCATCCCAACGCAGTACGCACGTCGTGCGCACTGCGTCACGCTGTTGTAGCGCGACATTCGAGCAATTGATCCTGACCACTCCGTGGGTGGGTCCAAGTAGCAGTAGCATTAGTGGCAACTGTGTTTCTTAGTGTGGCAATGCGATTGCATGTTTGAAACTAATGCGGGTGGGTACTTTTGTCTATGTAACTTCCCGATAAAGGCGTATGAACGTGGGCTAGACAAATACATTTTCGGCTTTCCCCACTATCTACCACGGATGTATTATAATGACATTATCAAAAGTTAGACAACCCTGTAGATGGACGAGATGTACGGATATCACTCGACTACACGTTCGCACACCACACCGATAACTCGTCTGTCGGCATATAACCTTGACAGGTGCCCTAATACAGCATACACTGTCATAAACGAAATCTTACTCTGGAGCTGGTAGAAGAAAAGAGCAGGGCTTCTGATAGATCACCTTGCTGGGGTGATCGGAGACATTTAAGATTTTGGGGGAAAATTCTACATACGTCGAAATGTTTACTGGTAATGAAATCAAATGCACATTGTAACGACGAAGACGAACGTTACCACTAGAGCGAACAAGCAGGCAATCATTCACCGCAACCGTGCTGATAAATATAAAATACCAATTGTATGCGCCAAGATGGTCTATTTAGATACCACCTTGTTATATGTTCACCCAAACGTGAATCTGACACATACGTAAAGCACGCACGCGTTGCTCTTACCGTCTCACCGGTGAAAATCGGTCGCGTATGTTTTGTCAGTCGATTAAACAGTGTAAAGTCCATACGTGTATTACTACGCTGGAGTTACAGACCCTATAGGGCATAAGCTCTCAAACGTTTACTTAGGTGACCAAGACGTATCCTTTGACGACGGAGATCACAATGTCCATTGTGAATGCACCCGCGCAGTCCTGATCATGCTCTGCAAAAATCTGTCTATGACCAGTTGGAATACATACTGAAAAACAATTTATGAGTAGCTAATGTTACTTCCAGTCATGAATCCTTTAGTGTCTTTTACCGAACATTTCTTTGGTGACGAAGGCCGGATACACCTGGACGCCCTCGGTATTGACGACATGTGTGCAACCACACCCAGCGCCTCGAATGCGTTCAAGACTCTCTTGAGTATTCAACAAAACGTTTATATCGCCAGGTGCTTTTCTCCATACTGCCAGAACTTCGAGGAAGGTCAGAACGAGTTTGTCCCTCTTATACACCAAGCCACCTCTGATTTCAGACCAGTGAAAGTTGATCCGGCGAGATTCAAAGGAACAGTGCTACTTCAGTGCCTATTGGCTGGCATATAAGACCAGAATACCCTGAAAAAACTCCTTTCAAAGGATGACCACTTAATTGGTGAACGATTTTGTCACTTGCCCGTGAAACAACGAGTCTGACACAACAACTGTCCGCATTCACTCTACAAGCTCCATCCGGAAGTGCACAGTTTTGGAAAAGGACGATATAGCTTTTAAAAAAAGACGTCCTTAAACGTTATGTTTTTTATGCCTCCGATGTGGTGATCAGCGCGAATGTGTATTTGGATATCGTGACCAAAAGATAGTGTGTCGAAATTGTGGGATGGCGGATCATTTGGCGCGAGTATGCAGGCCATTTTAGCTTTAACCGGATTTACACTAACCACAAACGTAATCAATCAACGAGGTGAGTTGTCGTGAAGATAATGAATCAGTTACACTCCATTGGATTGAATACCGTATCCAATCTACATTCAGCGTCATGCATTATGGAGCTCTGCGTCTAAGGACAGGAGGTACAGATTTTAATACTGCAGCCTCCATTACAAGAACAGGAGCTATGTGCAGTACTTACCGCTCTTGTCACTATGTATTTCCAGTGTTCAGACGTACGCAATTGAACCTAAACTGTGTTCTTAGTAACTGCCTGGTGCAGGCGCAATATTGCGCTGAGATGCAGAAGATTCCTGTGTATGTACTATGGGAGGATCGACCAAACGTACTCGGGAGGGACTGGATAGGCGCATTCCCTAGCACGTTGGATGCTCTTAAAACGGTTACTAAAGTCATTGGATTTGAAGACATTTTGAAACCGCAATAAGAGCTCTTTTGCGGAGGAGTTGGGAAAGCTGAACGAGTTTCAGGCCACAGTACGATTGACGGAATTTGCCCCGCCCAAATTCATCAGAACACGAACACTATCATATGCCGTAAGGCAACACTCGATCTTCATCTACTTCAGCAAACTGTGTTGAAATTATTACTGAGAAAATGTTTTCATTAGATGCAGCCTGTCATACCGAGACAAAAAGGTGTATACTCAGCGACATGGGACAAAAGAATACGAAGAAAAGCTAAGAGCAACATGGAGCACAAGATGATGCGACCGTCGAGTGTGCAATCATATTGAGCCGTTAAGTAGTGATTTCACAGAGGAAAACATATCTAACTTGCCCTATATTTGTGCCCGTCCGTCAGCTTGGTAATATAATAGCTTTCGTTTTCAAATACTTCCATTGAAGTTTATTAGCACATCAGATGTGCAGCATCCGTTTCCAGATTCGCCCATAACTGTAGCCTCCATAGGACAGTAACAGGACGTTGGCCTCTACTGACGGACCATGCGTGGCCTATGCTGCATCACTCGCGCGCCACATATCCAGTGTAAATCTGATGGAATAAAAACGCGAAGTACATAGGTAGGAGCCACATTTCATCAACGGAGCCGGCCCACACTTCTTTAACATGCAATGAGGGTATCACCCCTATTGGTGATGAAGCGACTGCAACCAAACTGTCAATCTCAGCGAACAGTTCGACAACCTGAGCTATCAATTTTCGCTATTATTTCACGCAATTCATTAATTTGAAGCTGCATACCAATGAGGCTGGACCTTACCGTGGTGCGATGGTTTGTGTGCCTCAGCGATCCATTGAGCTATGCTGGGTGATGCTTTTGCACCTTCAGAGTCACTCATACCAGATTGGTCAATGGTTAGAGGTCAGACTAACTCAGCCTCCTGGTCCTCCAGGTTGGGGGTTGGAATGAGGGTGGCACCTTATTCCTTAAAACGGACTCCTTGTAGCCCAACGCCAAACCCGCTGCCTTGCGGTCAGGTTTTTGAACCAAAGGCTTTGGCTGAGAACCCTAATCGTTCTCCTGTCTAGGCCTGGGCAACCTGACAGTATCCTGCCCACGCAATACAATGAATCACACTTCAAACAAATTGCTGATGCTCTGGCCACCGCAGAGGATAGTCAACGGTGCCCTATCTGCTGCATCGAGCAGGGTGAATAGGGGTTTGGATGCTACTGCTTAAGCCTTCCCGTCTTCTTATTCCCCATCTTACGCTTTTTCACTCTTACCGTCCCCTTCCAGCTTCACTTATATCCCCCAGTTTTCACCCCCCGATTCTTGGCCCTCCCCCAACATGCTTTGCTAGGCATTTATCTTCTAGTTTCAACTCACATGTGAACGCGGAGCGTCACTCCTCTCCTGTCGACAAGCCCATGTCCAACCAAGCGGTCCATTCCAGTTCATCGGTTTCCATTTGGAGCCCTCGATCCTCCTTCAGATTGGCATGCCTTAATGTACGCACACTACTACAGATCGGTCAACAGGCAGCACTTGCCCGAACATTGGAGACCCTCTTAATCGATATCTGCTGCTTATCAGAGACCCGCCTGAAAGACTCGAGCTCTGTGCTCACTCTGCGATCCCCTTTAGGTGACGCAAACACTATTTTCTCATTGCGCCTATCCGGTGACGATGCAGCTTCGAGCACCGGACAACCTGGTATTGGCAATGCCCTGAGTCCCCTGGCTGAAGCTGCTCTGGTTGATTGGATTCCAGT